TCGAGATATCAGGGGGGGGGGTCGTAAACAGCCCCCCCCTGCCACTAATAGGGGTAGCCAGGAGCCTGCCACTAATAGGGTTAACTGAAGGTGTTCCGCCGATACTGGCCCGTTTGACGGTTACCGATGGGTAACCAGGGCTGCGGAGTCGACGGATTTTCAGTGACTCCAACTCCGACTCTGACTCGGACTCCGCAGCCCTGTAGGTAATCGTCAAATGTACTGGTGTAAGGATCTCAGGCGCCGGTGGGGCTATCAGAATCGCCAGTGTAGAGCACCCAGAGCCTCTGATGTGGAACCTTTAGAGGCACTGGTGTGGGACCCTCAAAAGTGTCGGTGTGAGTTCCTCAGAGGCAGTGGTGTGGGGCCCTAAGAGGCTCTGGTGCAGAGACCAGAGGTGCCGGTATGGGCTCCCAGAGGCGCTGGTGTGTGGCCCTCACAGGTGCCGTTGTGGTGATGTTCAGCGACACTGGTGTGTCTCTGAGTCCAAAATTCTTATGCTGAGCCCAAATCTCTCACAGATGGGTGCCTGGGTGGGGCCCTTGGAGTTGCTGGTTCGAATCCTTAACCCTCGCCGGCACTGGGGGTGGGGTTGATGCAACCCCCCCTAAGGTTTTTCGCGAATAACTCGCGTAAAAAGCGGCCGATCGCGACGAAACTTTCAGTACCCTCGCATTAATCAATTTTACACCTACCCTGAAAATTTCATGACCCTGACCCAAATGACCTTTGACCTGTGACCTCTTTTCCGAGACCATGTTTGGCCGGAATCGCGATTCGGCGTATGTCGGCTCGCATTAGCCGCGCGTTTGCAAGCTTTTCGTGGTTTCAAACGTTCAAACATGTGATTTGATGTTGCTTCCATACATTAGGGTGGATGTCAAGGTCACCTGGAGGTCAGGTCAGGTCATTGACCTTTGGTGACCTCGGGTGACCTCGGTTCACTTTTTCGAGTTTTACATGTTTCTAGGCTAGTTTTTGGAGCTGAATTCGAATTTAGCAACCATTTGAACATTTACGAAGTAGTTTTGGTGCCTTCGTAACATGTTACGAAGCTGTCAGAGGCGGTTGACACGTATTACGAATACCTACCCGTCACAACCTCTACCGGTTGACCTGACCTGACTTGACCCGACCTGGTCTAAATGCTTCAAAAAATCATCTCTGATCAAAACTAACACGATATTCGTGATCAGCACCCCGGAAAACCACATAACAGCCACACTTTACGACTTTCTAACAGGTCCCGATTTTCCCGGTTTTCGGGTCATTGACCTGACCTGGAAGGTCACCCGATGACCTAGAACCTTAAAATTGGGTATCATCGGCTTCCTCTCGTGACGGGCAACACGCTCGTTTTTTCCGCGAAGCTCTAGCTCGATCAGGGGCCAAACGCGAGGGGGGGGGGCCGTACCAACCCCCCCTTACGTACGTACGTACGTACCCCCCTTGTGCCGTCGAAGGACGCAAAATGGCCTGTGCCGGCGAGGGTTAATAGGCCATCAGGGCCTCTCAGAGACCGACAAAGGGCCCTCAGAGGTCGGTAAGGGCTCATATGATGCCAACAAGGGGCCTTCACAGGCCGGCAAGGGCTACTCAGAGGTCGGCAGTATCAGGAGCCCTGTGGAGTCCTGGAGATCCGCATGGTACTCTCAGACGCCTCAGAGTCACTGGTGTATGACCCTCAGATCCGCCGGTATAGGACATACAGAGTTACTGGTGGCTGGCTGTCAGAGGCGCCGGTGTGGGGGCCGGGGGCCCCACAGGTGCCGGTGTGGGACCCTCAGAGTCGCCGATATGGGAATTTAAGAGACACTGGTGTAGGGCCCTCAGAGGCGGCGATGTAGGGCCCTCGGAGGTGTCTGTGTGGGACCCTCACAGTCGCCGGTGAAGACTTTCACAGGCGCGCCGTTGTGGGGTCCTAATAGACACAGGTATGGGGCCATCATAAGCGTGTGTGTGGCCATTAGAGTTGCCGGTGCAAACCCTTCATAAGACCAGCAATAGGTCCTCGAGAGGCCGGCAAGGGGCCCGCAGAGGCCTTCGGGAGCCCTGTGGGGTCCTTAGGCGTGGTAGTCTCAGGCGCCGCTGGGAGCCCTCAAAGTCACTGGTGTGGGGCCCCCAGAGCCGCGATGTGGGGCCTTCAGGAGCACCGGTGTTAGGCCCTCAGAGGCACCGATGTGAGGCCCTCACAGGCGCCATTATGGGCCCTCAGAGACGCTGGTGTGGAACCGTCCCATGCGGGTAATTGACTATAAGAACCGACGCTTCATAGGCCGGCAAGGGCACTCAGAGGCTGGCAAAGGGCCTCCAGAGTCCGCAGTGGGATCCTTATAGAGAGACAAGTGTGACTGCTTAGGAGTAGTGACTCCGTGAGATGCTCTCACGAGTTCTGTGGGTCTTATCTAAGTCGAAATATGGCACGCATGAATCCAGAGCGGCCATTTGGCACCACAGGGCCTCTCGGGCCCGAGAGGAACCATGCATCTAATGGGGGGCACGTGCCCCTTGTGCCCCCTGGCTACACCATTGGTAGCGACCAAGGCCCTAAAACATGTTGCGGCCATACAGATGGTCACGCCGTACCTGTTTCTAAGCATAGGCGGAGTCGATCCCCATGGTCTGCGCAATATAACCGCCATCGTTAGACAATACGGCCAATACATGGTTTAAAGCGATATTGCTCCCCTGTGGCAGGAAGCAGCAGATTTAGACGATTTGTTTATTCAGGCAGCATCTTGTGCAAAAGATATTTGTAGGTTTCTGATGACATTTTTGCCTGGCATTTCTTCAAAAATCAAAATGTTTATTGTGGGTGCTCAAGAGCTTTTGTGGGTGCCCAGTTTGACTTTGTGGGTGCTTGGGCACCCACAAAGAGATATAAAACTCCACCCCTGATAATCCTTTTCGGTCAGGTCATGACGTTGACCTGAGGTCAAATTTTCAAGATGACCTTTCAAGGTCAACAAATAGCTCATTCGACGCGTCTCTACGAAAGGAACACGATGCTCCAAAAAGTAATGTCGTGGCTCTCTTGAGTCAAAAGTTATTGCCGAAAAAAAAACAGTTTCGTGAAAACCGCCATTTTTACAGTTTTTGCCCTCTGGAGGCTAAACCGTTGACCTGATGTCAAATCTGAGAACAATATTCAGAAAGGTCTGTAAAAGGGCTATCGAATGCGCTTTCCGCGGCGCTGTAGCTCTATTGGTTGCCGAGTTAGCCGTTAGCAGTTTCTAAAATTGTTGAAATGGCCTATATTTGACCTTTGATGACCTCTGCCGGCCTGACCTTTGACCTGACCCAAAAAATGACCGAAGCGTTTCCGTCAATTTTTTGGCGTTCTTTCTGTCAATTTTTTTTGACGCTCTTCCGAATGCTGCTTACCGCGTGTCGCTACGTGGCCCAGGAGCCGAGTTAGACGGGGGTGTTCAGACCCCACCCCCGGCCCGGCGCGAAGTCGCGGAGCACCGGCTCGTCGCGGGATATAGGCATTTTGCCTTTTGCCCAGCCCAGTAACCCATGCATTTGAAGAACAGGGGCCACGTGCCACGTCACATGTTTCACTCGGCATCGCTTATCCCGCGCCCCACTGGGGTCTGCGTATAACACGCCCTACTGGGGGGGGGGGGGGCTCTTCATAGCCCCCCTCCTAACTCCGAAACTACTGGGCCGATCATCAAAATTAAAACGGCGTCTGATAGCCCCAGAAAACTGTCGAGCGAAACCTTATTTCATTGACAGCTCAAGGTCACCGATGACGTCACACGTTAGGTCAAAGTAAAAATTATTAGCATTTTGGCTTGTTCACATTTTGGGCTCTGGCCGCCGTCTTACAAGTGAGATCAGGCTCATTTTTGGTTTACACAGTCGTGAACAGATGCTTTAGATACCCTGAGGGTACCAAACTTGTACTTTGATTTTCAGGTCAGGGTCAGGTCATCACAGGTCACGGAAATATTATATCATGCGTCGGTCACGTGACACATGTTTCTTGGTCCATTTATGCCATAGATTTCGAATTTGATGTCGTCTGAGTCATTCGAGGTCATTTTGAGTCGAATTCAGCTTAGGTCAGGTCACTTTCAGGTCAAAAAAGGTCAAATTTTGAAGGTAAAAATTTTAACAAAAAAGGTGTCTATTCGATGCAGTTTGAGCTCAGGAACACGATGGTGCTATTTAGATTGTTGTACGATGTCAAATACGTACTGAAAAAAAAATGATTTGAAAAATTAATAATTGTGATTTTTGCAATAATGCGTATAACTTGGCCATTTTTGAAGATATTTAGCTAAAACTTGCTAGAGTAAGTCATAAGCATGCGTTCTATCACACATATTCCGGTTTTGTCGAAAAGTAAAAAAATTGAAAATATATAAACATATAAATTTTGAATTTTATTTTATTAAATTTTCAAAAATTTCAACATTTTGAAAGTCCGAGAGAGCAGTTTGATAGCTCAGTCTATTCTGAGTCTTTTCATGCAAAGAAATTGGATCTAGCTTAAAAACTGAGCTCTTGGGAGCGATTGCCGTGGTTCAATGTTTTGCGTCGAAATCGGCCGAACATGACGTCACTTTGACGTCATTTCCGGCCGACCTATGGTAGCTACGAATTTCATATTTTGACACAAGGTGTAAATTGATGCAGCCGAAGGTACTGAAAGTTTGGCTTTGATACGTCAAGCGGTTTGGAAGAAGGGTTATTTGGTACGGAAAAAAATGCTGAATCATGAGCGATTGGAGTCATGCCTAGGTATAAGACTCTGAGCGTCACGGAGTTAGGTCACGCAGCGCACTTGCGATAGAAATATCTGGCCCGCTGCAATATATCGTTAATTACCATTTACCGGACACCACAAGTTAATGACCTATATTACCTGATGGTTCCAAGATCTAGAAAATCAGTTCACATGTGACAATTACCAGTAAGGTGTCAAGGCCGGTGCGGCAATGGCTTTGTCCGAGCGGAGCGGCCCATGACACACGGCTGGCGGGGGCGGCGATCTGGCCGGCGGGGCCGCTGTCAGCTCGCCGCCCGGCCCACTCGTCTGCTGCCCTCCGACCGCCATGGAGCCCCGGCTGGCCACACTGCTGCTGACCGGGCTGGTGTTGATCTCATCCACCAGCGCTCAGGACAGTTTCTTCCCCGACGACGACTTTTTCAGCGACCGCTTTCCAGGCCGGGGCCGGGGCCGACCTTCCAGGGGCGGTGGGGAACAGTCAGGCCGACCGCGGACCACCAGCGATGCCGGTGAGACGCTCGCAATTTGATACAGTGTTTACATAGTCTGCTGGTAGTTTTACCCATAATTCAGCATCTAAACTGTGTTACGGCGATTGTTTTATCTTTGAACGGCATGTTGTCGTAAAAAGTCACCTCACAGTTATCATAGCAAGGTTATTTATATTTTTAATCTGACGGTTCTCCTTCCTACCGCCTGAGATCCTCACGACTGAAACTGAAGCACAGAAGAGGCTGACACCAGATGGCCGTTGCAGACATCCTTTTTTGACCGTGAGTTCGAGCGGCTGGGTGCCGGCGGTGACAGCGACGTTTCCGGGGTCCGGACCAACTTCCAGCGTCCGGGCGAGGCCGTCCAGAGTGCGGCCACCGACGGCCAGAGACAGTTCCAGGTCCGGCTGGTCGGCGGCTCCAACTCCAGAGAAGGTAGCCGATTAGGATGAGGGTGTGGGTGAGGGAGGGCTATGGGCGAACGAGACGATAACACTAACCATAGCGCTTGCATGATGCAATGCAGCAGAGAAAGCAGTCGTGTTGTTTGATTGATTGATTTTGATTTTTGAATTTTGGGCATTTCGAGTCGTGTTGTTTATGAAAAACATATTTATATATCGTTTGCCCAATTGGATAGCCGCTTCGTGTAATCACTAGACATAGGAAGTTGGGCTACGCCACGGCATCATATCTTCAATTCAAACGTTACACCTCTTTTCGCTAAAACATAAGGACTTTCGTTACGCTTTCGATGCAATAATCGTCCTTCATGATTAATGCGATATTTTGTTGTTTCCCTGCACTTCTTTCTTCAATAGGAAATGTGGAGGTGCTGATTTATGACTGGAGCGAGCGAATAGCCGGCTGGAGGTCGGTGTGTGACATCGGCTGGACCCAGGCTCACGCTGAGGCCGCCTGCAGACAGCTCGGCTTCCCAGGACCCGCCGTCGCAACCAGAAATGGACGTTTCGGATACCGCAGCTGTGAGTTCCTATTATAAATGCACTTGGCGGTCAGTTGCTGAATATTTCCATAATAAAAGTGTTCAAACCGTCTGAATAATAGAGCTGGCTAATCAAAGTTTATCCGTTCTTCTGCCGCAGCTGGATTCGGCACCATGGTCAGCAACTGTCAGGTGGGCGCCGGCGGCCGCGGCCTGCGCGACTGCATGCAACGCGGCGTCGGATCCACAGTCGGCTGCCGCTCCAACAACGTGGCAGGCGTCATCTGCGGCTCCGACCCATCCTCGCCCTACAGCGGGGTGAGTACATCACCTGGCGCGCACGGTGCACGGGTGCTGCAGGATCGCACTCGTGGGGAGGAAGGCACTCGACCGCTGCCATCCGGCACACCATTTTGGCCGCGCGGAAAGGTCACAGTTCCGCCCTGCATCGAGGTCGGCCTGGTGACCTTTGTCAGCCGCGCCGAGTGATGCGACAGGTCTGGTGCCGCTGCTGAAAGTGCTGCTATTCGGTGTGTTGGTGTATACTGAACTGCACTGAATACCTAAATGTATTCAATTTTTAACCCTTGCCGTGCTAGGGGGGGGGGGGAGGAGACGGGGCGTTTTTACGTCCCCCTTAGGCTTTCGCGAAAAATGACCAAAGCGTAATTATTTTTGACGCTCTTTCGATTGCCACTTACCGCGTGTCACTACGTGGCCCAGGAGCCGAGTTAGACGGGGGGGGGGGAAGGCATGAAAACGCTCCCCCCCCTAGCACGACACGGAAAACACAGGCCATTAGCACGGCGCGGGTTAAGGAAGAGAGAAAGGCAGGTAATGAAAAAAGAAAGTAAAGAGAGAAAGAAAGGAAGCAAGAAGAAGAGAGAGAGAGAGAGAGAGAGAGAGAGAGAAAAGAGAGAGAGAGAGGGAGAGAGAGGGAGAGAAAGAGAGAGAGAGAGAGAGGAGAGAGAAAGAAAGGAAGCAAGAAGAGAGAGGAGA